AATTCACAAGCAAACTAAATGATGAATGCCACTTCATACACTGCCCGCTGTCAAACTCCCAGCTCCACGTGTGACAGGGCCATCGATCCAACTCAAGCACACCAGGTGAGGGAGAGGCAGGCGGCCAGGCTCATTATCACCCGAGTGAGTTACGAGTGACAGAGATGGAGGGACTGTGCAAGGTCACACAGGAAGTGGAGAGAATAAAATCTGTGTCTTGGCTGTGAGCCTCCTAACAACACAGCCCGATGACCGACGTCCTTTCTGGCCAATGCACAAAGACAGACACTACCCCAGAGGAATGCGGGACATGCATTGTAGCGCACTCCCTGGCCCCAAGCACCACACGGGATGGGCAGCCGTGGGCACACTGCCACACTGGGGGTGCCCCGGAATATGCCCTGCCTTCCAGTGAGGGTCCGGAAGCTGCAGCCCACAGACCAAATCCAGCCCCTGCCTGGTCCTGAAAATAAAGTCTGGCTGAAGCCCCGCCACAGCCCCTCGTCCACCGCCTGTCCTGCTCTCGCACACAGCCCAGGGCTCAGCAGACATGTCACAAGGCCTAAAGCACTAACCAGAAAGGGCTGCTGAGCCCCAGTCTCAGGGACAGAGGGCAGACCTTGGGGCTGGTTACCTGGGTTTGGCCCAGGCTTCTGCATTCACGACCTACATGACCCGGGGCAAACCACGGAACCTTCTCTGCCTCGGTTTCCTCCTCTGACACTAACAGAAACGCCGGCACCCAGCTTCCAAGCTGTGGGGCTAACTCCCTTAGCTTCTGTGCAGTGCTCACCAAGAGCCTGCACCTGAGGTCAGCTGTGCGATGTCCACTGTTCTTGCTTCTGTGTAAGTACTAGTGTTAAACTGGAAAGGGGTGTCTGGATTGGGCCCGAGTGAAGCAGCCAGGCGAGTGACCCAACCGTGAACAAGGCCCCACCTCTGCAGGCCTTAGAAGCGGCTGGCTCAGGTCTCCATGCTCCTGCCCTATGCTCTGGGATCCTCCCAGATCCAAGCCCTCCTCCTCTGTGGCTCCAGGGGGCTTCTAGGGTGACAAGGCCCTGGTAAATGCTGCGGAGAGGACCCGAGCCGGCCAGGTCCCTGCTGTCTAGAACAACAGATGCTCGCGCCGGGGACGAGAAGCCACGGTGGCCGGTTTTCCGTGCCAGTGCCTAGCACAGGGGGTGTTCATGCACTGACACCTGTGCAAATCCATTTCTTCTCACCTGGTTACTTCGCCATCCTGCAGAAACGGGATGGTTACCCACAGTTCGGAGCAGTTGTCGTTATTGCAAACTTGGGAAGCATTATCAAAGCAGGAGAGAAGCACACCTCATTTTTCCCACAGCTACTTCAAAGCATCTGCTGTCTGAATGCCACTACATATGGGATCCTCTTCAACACACCAGCTGAGAGGAAATTCTGGAACCTGCCACACCTGCTCTTTGAAAACGTTACCCTCGTAAGGGCAGAGCAAGGAGACGGCGTTCTTGCAGACAAGG